ACAAGGACACTCATTTCTTTCCATGGCAGTAAATCGACCAAGACGCCATCTTCCAAACGACTACGAGCGGAATTCTCATAGGGAGGTAGAGGATGGGATCAGGAACAGAGGTGGATGGGCGACAAGCGCGAAGGAGGACGTTTTTACCAGTAGTGGCGTGATGGGCTCTTTGATCGTCACAAAAATTCTGCCAATAATCACGATAGTGATTACGGAGATGGATTGGAGAAGTTGGTATAGGATCAGGGAGAGAGGTATAAAGAGCATTGGTTTCTAATTTGTTGCCAAGTCTTGTTTGAGAGAGAGATTCTTGGAGGAGGATGAGGAGAGAATCTTCTGGAAGGTTGGCAGAGCGTAGCACGTATTTAGTAACCAAGGTGTTATAGCGGTGGAGCATACCAGGGAGACAAGTGATGTGTTTAGCAACTGTTGTATGTTTACTACCTACGAACATTGACACAAGTGAATTTTGTAGGGTGTCTAATTTACTCATTTCACGGGCTGTGAAACAAGAAATAGCCAACCCATACTCAATTTTTGGTCGAATGAACGTTTTGTATAGGCGTGCGGAGAGAAGGAGAGAAAAACCATTACGGTGTACACCGATAGAGGTAAGGAGAGACATGGTTTTTTTGGCTTTGGAGGATCGAGCTTCAATACTTTTACCGGCATTTAAACCTTTTTTAGTAAATTCCATACCCAGGTAACAGAACTGATCAACAGTGGGAATGGGTTCACCATAAAGAGAAAAGGCAAAATTGGGAGTTAGAGAGGAGCGAGGAGAAGGAGCGTTTAAAATGGCACATTTGGAAGGAGACCATCTGTAACCAAGTTTGAGAGAGTGATCGCCAGCGATCTGCAGCATTTTTTCAACTTCATCTTTTGTTCCAAAAATGGCAACATCATCAGCAAAGAGAAGAGAATTAATAGCTACAGGTTCATCATCGTCGAGACCGAACACAGTAGGAGTAGAATCAGAGGCAGCGCTACGCAATACACCAGGAAGTGAGTCAATATACAGAGAGTATAAATGAGGACTAAGCACAGAGCCTTGCAACAAACCAGTGATGGGAGTGAATGGATCTGATCTATGATTGGCCAGCAATACAGAGATAGAAACATCATCAAACATATGGATGAGCAGGTTGAGCAGAGGAACAGGAAAAGAGGATTTTGAGGCAAGGATATTCCAGACTACACGACGATCCACCGTATCGTAAGCTTGTTTGATATCCAGAAAGGCAACAGAAGGAAAATGATAGTGCTTGTTAAAGTAATCATGCATAAGATCATGCAGACACAAAGCTTGGTCAAGAGGACTACGCTGTTTACGAAAACCACCTTGGGCATGATCAAGAGCGGGAGATAGTTCTGTAACATGTGAGACTATAGTCATTTCAAATAATTTTCGAAGAACAGAAGTGAGTGAAATGGGTCTATAGTTAGCGGGGTCAGTACGATCACCTTTTTTAAAATTGGAAACACAGTAGCCTGACGCCATAAAGACGGTGTGTTGGACCACTGGTAACAAAGAGTAAAGTAAAGTTTGAGAAAAGGAGCGAGGATGTCAATGACAGGCTTGAGCATTTCGGCTTTGATGTGATCTGGGCCTGGAGCTTTGTTGTTCGGTAGTTCTTTTATACGCCACGATATAACATCATCATCCAAAAAAGGAGTGTTGTCAAGAGAGTGAGGTAAAAAATGGTGTAAATGAACGGATGGTGGGCGGAGAGAAGGAGCAGGGAGAGAGGAACCACTATACACTGAAGATAAATGGGTGGACATAATATCAACAGCTTTCATGGGACCATCAGTATGCGTGAAGGAAGCGGTGTGAGTGTTGCGGGCTTTAATTCGAGAAATCGTTTTTGTGGCTTTGGGAAAGTTTGTCTCCAAACTTTTTTTAAATTCGTTCCACGATTCTCTTTTGATTCTTTGAATTTTTTTACGAAAAAGTTTGTTAGCTTCATCATGTTGATTCCACCAATGTACCTTGTCGATCCCAATGCTTCTACGCCAGCGTTTATAACATCGGTCACGATTTTCAGCAGCTTCTTGTAATTCAGTTGTCCAGTACTTGTGCCAGTAGTCGGGACGAGGAGGAGTGTTACCAACGGAAAGATCTAAAGAATCATACACACATGCATTGAATGACTCGTTGAATAAATCAAGAGATGGACATAGCAGAGGTGGAGAGGAAATCCAGTTTTCGAGCTTGGTGGTGAGAGGTGCAATCTTTTCTTTAATGGACTCACGGTATTTCTGGAGGTACGCAGGTTTTTTAAGTCTGTTTAAATTCCATAATCTACGTGGTGCCAACGGTCGATCGGGAAGAAGGGGGACATCATCGTGAGATGGCACAAGGTCGAATGTGAGGTGCATAAGACGATGGTCAGAGCTCAGAGAGAGGTCAGATTCAACTTGCAGAGCTGGAGAGACGAGAGAGGAAGGAGCGATATTTGTGATAAATAAATCAACAATACTTGATATTTCTTGACCGAGTCGAAACCCAGAAAAGGTGGGGATACCATTAGCAAGAGATTCATTTAATATACGCAGTTGGTGGTCAGAACACCAGGAGAGAAGACGATTACCACGAGGGTTGGATTGATGATCACCGACAAAGGAGCCAAGGCGAGCATTAAAATCACCACAGATGATGGTATTCGGAAGGAGAGGAATCGAATCAAGTGTAGCAAATACTTGATGGATAGGCATAGATGGTGGAAGATAGAGACAATGAACACGAAGATCACCTACTTTGAGGGAGAGCGTGTGGTCATTGGGAGAAGGAAGTTGAAGGACAGTGTGTTTGCATAAAGGATTAAATAAAGCGGTGATACCACCTTTACCACGGTTATTTGCATTTGTGACTTTTTGACCATAACAGTGATATTGAGGCCAGTTTGTCGGGAGGAGCATAGAAGGCGTAAGCCAAGTTTCAGTAATTAGGAGCATATCAGAAAAGAGCGTGTGGGAAAGTGGATCTTGTACGGTCGTGGCTTTGAGACCATTAGCGTTCAAGAGACTTATCATAAAAGGTTGGTTCGACATAATTAAAGCACCTCTTCAGATGCGATAATGTCAGAAGGAGCGGAAACAAATTCTTCATCTTCATCCATATCTTCAGTGGACTTTGACGGAGAGGGTTGTTTGGGCATAGGTGCATTGAAGAGCTTGGCAGCTTCTTCGTTGATTTGTGACCTAGGATCCTTTGATGGTACCTTCGTGATTTCCAAGAGTTCTTCTTCTGACAAATAACCCATGTCGATCATTGAGTAACCAACAGGTTTCACCTGTGTTGGTCTTGTGTTGTGAAGGTACAACAGAGCTTGCTTACAACGGTTGTTGTGGAGCTGAATTGCAATGTCAGTACGAGCGTCGGTGGAATAAGACTTGTAAATAGGATTTGCCAAGTGCTTTTCATCTAAAGGGTCAAAGTCTTTAATGATTCCAGCTTTAACATCAGTCATAATTTTGATGAAAGTGGGAGCATATGAGACGTGGACAAGAACACCGAGAACACCAGTGGCAGGGAAAGTAATATCAAGAACACGGCTTGTATCGATACCAACCAGTTTAAATCTCTTGCGAGTTTCTGGGCGCGTGATCTTACGTGAGCGACCAATATAAATATACTGGAAGCCTTGAGGTTCGTTAGGATCACGTTCCATGAAGGGACGTGCAGCTTTGGCGAGAGCTTCGGCAGAGAGTTTTTTGGCCTTAGGCTTGGGCTTGACAGGCTTGCTAGCCTTTTGTGCAACAATTTCAGCCATGGTAGGCTTATTTTTATTGACGTTGGGTCTAGTAGAGGCAGTGGTGGTGGGCTTGGGTGATGAAGAAGAGGGAGGTGCTTTACTCCAAATGCTAGCATTTGAGGATAAGTCCCTTTCTTGAGAATCGACCTGCATACGGTTGTCAGTGGGGCGATAGGGAGAGGCGGTTAATTGAGCCTTTAAAGCTGCAATCGTATCACCTTGTTCACGAATGGTTTTTTCAAGAACATGATTGTTGGTCTTCAATTGAAGATTTTCTTGTAAAATCTGATCAATTGCAGAGAGACGAGTTTCATACTCATCCAAACGACGAGCTTGTTTTCTGAGCTGTTGCTGCAGATCCAGGGCAAATTCAGGGATGCTGAATGCTAATGTTTCACCAGCTATATTAGGTGATACGGGAGGGAGGGACGAATCCAGAGAGGACATGATTAAGCTATCATCGAGTTCAGTGATGGTAGCAGAAGGAACAGCAGAAGATGCTTGAGAAGAAGCAGGTTTTTGACCATTGGGGATGGTACCTGAAGAGACAAAGGTGATTGATGATGAATCAGGTGAGTCAGGAGAGCCAGCTAAGCGGCGAGCCGTGGCAGTAGCTATTTTCTTCTTATGAAGAAAATCTGCTTCGGGGTCAGCGACGACATGCTTAAACGTTCCATTACGAGTCAAAGGCTTCGTAATATCCTTGCGAGGAACAGAAATGGAGGTAGGTGGGCCTCGTTTCTGGGAAGAAGAGTTAATATTTGACATTATAGTAGGTAATATTATAAATACGACCTTATAGTGTCAAAAAAGGAGGCGTTCAACAGTTAATGTGTGTCTTAAATTACAGTATAATGTTTGACTGTAATAAGAGTAGGTTCAGAAGAAGTTTGAACAGGAAAGCAATAGAGGATGTTCACAGATGTAGGAATGTCTTGTGAAATCGTCGAAATGGCGGAAAACAAAAGTCTTCAGAACTTGGTGAGTTTTTGTCTGAGGGCTTTGGGAGTTGTACTAAAATGAACAGACGAGTTTGCTTGTTATTTTAATGCGTAGTTGGAGGCGGTTCTAGTATTGCTTGATATTTCGAAAAATAAAAGATTGGTTACACAAAAGAAAAATTATATAAAAATTCTTTAAGCGAAAGAAAGAAAAGGGGGGTTGTAGCTCAGATGAAAGAGTGGTTTTTATTAATTAGAAATTAATTGTAATTATGATGGGCTATCCATAGATATAATGCCTAATTACGAGGACGAGATGAGGAGGAAGTTTATAATTAAGGGGGAAAGTTAGAAAATTTAAGGGTAATATGGAAAGGGCTGTAATGGCTAAGTCTATTTGGCTGTTTTTGGCAGGAGTCTCTTGCTTATTTAATTCCCGGGGGGGACACCTAAAACTTGCTGATCATATCACGTCTTGCATTGTTCTTCGCTTGACCGCCGAAAAGACAACAGTAAACCACCTCAAAGGAGGGGAGAAGAACTAGCCAGACCAGCTGGCAGCTAGCAGGAGCCCAAACAGGGAAAGTGAGTTGAACGTACGGCGCATTGAGGATTCCTCGTCCGACAAGACAAGCACAGCTAAAACTGATGAAAACCTACTACACAAGTTATAGTTATGATTAAACAATGCGCTTGGCCGGATTCGAACCGGCATACCACCTAAGAGTATTTCATAAACGCAAACGCTATAACCACTTACGACAAGACAGCATGTATGGGGTTGTAGCTCAGATGAAAGAGGGGTTTTTATTAATTAGAAATTAATTGTAATTATGATGGGCGATCCATAGATATAATGCCTAATTACGAGGACGAGATGAGGAGGAAGTTTATAATTAAGGAGGGAAAGTTAGAAAATGTAAGGGTAATATGAAAAGGGCGGTAATGGCTAAGTCTATTTGGCTGTTTTTTGGCAGGAGTCTCTTGCTTATTTAATTCCCGGGGGGGACACCTAAAACTTGCTGAACACATCACGTCTTGCATTGTTCTTCGCTTGACCGCCGAAAAGACAACAGTAAACCACCTCAAAGGATGGGAGAAGAACTAACCAGACCAGCTGGCAGCTAGCAGGAGCCCAAACAGGGAAAGTGAGTTGAACGTACGGCGCATTGAGGATTCCTCGTCCGACAGGACAAGCACAGCTAAAACTGATGAAAACCTACTACACAAGTTATAGTTATGATTAAACAATGCGCTTGGCCGGATTCGAACCGGCATACCACCTAAGAGTATTTCATAAACGCAAACGCTATAACCACTTACGACAAGACAGCATGTATGGGGGTTGTAGCTCAGATGAAAGAGTGGTTTTTATTAATTAGAAATTAATTGTAATTATGATGGGCTATCCATAGATATAATGCCTAATTACGAGGACGAGATGAGGAGGAAGTTTATAATTAAGGGGGAAAGTTAGAAAATTTAAGGGTAATATGGAAAGGGCTGTAATGGCTAAGTCTATTTGGCTGTTTTTGGCAGGAGTCTCTTGCTTATTTAATTCCCGGGGGGGACACCTAAAACTTGCTGAACACATCACGTCTTGCATTGTTCTTCGCTTGACCGCCGAAAAGACAACAGTAAACCACCTCAAAGGAGGGGAGAAGAACTAGCCAGACCAGCTGGCAGCTAGCAGGAGCCCAAACAGGGAAAGTGAGTTGAACGTACGGCGCATTGAGGATTCCTCGTCCGACAGGACAAGCACAGCTAAAACTGATGAAAACCTACTACACAAGTTATAGTTATGATTAAACAATGCGCTTGGCCGGATTCGAACCGGCATACCACCTAAGAGTATTTCATAAACGCAAACGCTATAACCACTTACGACAAGACAGCATGTATGGGGTTGTAGCTCAGATGAAAGAGGGGTTTTTATTAATTAGAAATTAATTGTAATTATGATGGGCGATCCATAGATATAATGCCTAATTACGAGGACGAGATGAGGAGGAAGTTTATAATTAAGGAGGGAAAGTTAGAAAAATGTAAGGGTAATATGAAAAGGGCGGTAATGGCTAAGTCTATTTTGGCTGTTTTTGGCAGGAGTCTCTTGCTTATTTAATTCCCGGGGGGGACACCTAAAACTTGCTGAACACATCACGTCTTGCATTGTTCTTCGCTTGACCGCCGAAAAGACAACAGTAAACCACCTCAAAGGGATGGGAGAAGAACTAGCCAGACCAGCTGGCAGCTAGCAGGAGCCCAAACAGGGAAAGTGAGTTGAACGTACGGCGCATTGAGGATTCCTCGTCCGACAAGACAAGCACAGCTAAAACTGATGAAAACCTACTACACAAGTTATAGTTATGATTAAACAATGCGCTTGGCCGGATTCGAACCGGCATACCACCTAAGAGTATTTCATAAACGCAAACGCTATAACCACTTACGACAAGACAGCATGTATGGGGTTGTAGCTCAGATGAAAGAGTGGTTTTTTATTAATTAGAAATTAATTGTAATTATGATGGGCGATCCATAGATATAATGCCTAATTACGAGGACGAGATGAGGAGGAAGTTTATAATTAAGGAGGGAAAGTTAGAAAATGTAAGGGTAATATGAAAAGGGCGGTAATGGCTAAGTCTATTTGGCTGTTTTTTTGGCAGGAGTCTCTTGCTTATTTAATTCCCGGGGGGGACACCTAAAACTTGCTGAACACATCACGTCTTGCATTGTTCTTCGCTTGACCGCCGAAAAGACAACAGTAAACCACCTCAAAGGAGGGGAGAAGAACTAGCCAGACCAGCTGGCAGCTAGCAGGAGCCCAAACAGGGAAAGTGAGTTGAACGTACGGCGCATTGAGGATTCCTCGTCCGACAGGACAAGCACAGCTAAAACTGATGAAAACCTACTACACAAGTTATAGTTATGATTAAACAATGCGCTTGGCCGGATTCGAACCGGCATACCACCTAAGAGTATTTCATAAACGCAAACGCTATAACCACTTACGACAAGACAGCATGTATGGGGTTGTAGCTCAAATGGTAGAGCGCTCGCTTAGCATGTGAGAGGCACTGGGATCGACGCCCAGCTACTCCATTCGTTTTTTTTTTTTTTTTTTTTTTAGGGCATTTTTCAAAAAAATGACCTTTAGCTTTTCTGCGAAAAAAAATTTCGTGTCCCACTTTTTTGGTTCAATTTATTCCGGAGTTTTAATTATAAAAAAAAAAAAGGGCCCCAGAGGGGGGTTTTACACTGTAAACCGATTTTACTGTTTTTCTTTTTTTCGTGTCCCACTTTTTTGGTTCATTTTACTCCGGAGTTACAAAACATCAGGAGCCATTACTTTCTTTTTCTTTCTAAAAAAACAGCATGGGTAGACCAAGATTAACAGATGCTGAAAAAGAAGAACGAAAACAACTTCGAAGCGAAAAGCGAAAAGAAAAACGAAGATCTACTTCGTCCGCGCCATTGACCGATGAGGAAAAAAGAGAGCGTGAAAGAAAGCGTAAAGCAAAACAAAGAGAAGATCCCTCGTTCAGGGAGCAAGAAAATCAGCAGAAACGCAGACGATATGAGGTACAGCACAAATGACTAAAAAAAAAAAAAATAATGCCACTAATATTTTAAAAAAAAAAGGGTGACAACGATATGGAGGACAATACCAGCCAGGCTGCTGATCAAGATGATAACGATAGAAATCAGGTAATATATTGTGCGATATATTTAAGTAACAATGTTTTAAAGATTTTATTCGACAGGCTTTCGAAGCCATTCAATCAAAATACTATAAATTAATTAAGGAAGGGCCAACATCTAAATGTCTATGTTGCAATGGTACATGGTTTCCTTCGCAATCGAAACATTTGAAAGCAGAACTTTTAATAAATAAAGGAGGTACCGTCGAATTTATTAAGACCGTTTTTGGAGCTGTTACAGATTCTATGAACGACGATGCTCTGGAAGAATTAAGTGGCACATTTTGCAATACTTGTTTTCAAGATATCAGACAGTTAAAACTTCCTCGACTTTGTCTCGCTAATGGATTTAAGCTTGCTGATTTGCCTTCTGAAATCACACGATTAAATCGAATTGAAGAACGATTAGTTGCCGCAAGACACGTATTCATGTCAGTTTGGACAGTTGCAGGTGTTAGAGGCCAGTTTAAAAGTAAGAGAGCAATCAACAACATTCCTGTATCAGTTGACACCTCCGTTACATCCCTACCTCGTTCACTCAATGATACCAACATCATACCTGTTCGGCTTGCCAGAAGAATGACGGATGTTCACAATTACATGGAGGGAAATGTAAACGCGAGATATGTCTGGGAAGCTATTCATTACTTGCAAACTCAGCCAGCATACGAAAAGCACGAAATTACAATTGACGATACCTGGTTAAATACGTATGATCAATTAACCCCAGAGAACGATCCAGAAGAAGAAATGGATGAGGAAGACGATGTGGAGGGGCAAAATGGTAGCGGAATTGTAGAGGATGATATTCCAATCGGTGGTAGTGAAACGCTGTACTCGGGTGAAGAACTACCGGATTCAGATAATGCCACAGGATTAAAAATGGCTCCTGGTGAGAAGTCAACTGCGCTTTCGCTATTAATGGATGAAGACACGGATTTTTTGGCATTTCCCAAAATATTTGGTGGACAAATTCTTAAACCAATGTATAATGAAAAGCCGTTATCGTATGCATCTTTAACGAAATCGTTGATTCGAAGCGCTGATCGTCGAACTGTACGTCCGGATTATCTTTTTTTCATGGATAAAAAAAGATTACTTTTAAATTTGGTCGGTGGAGTGTCTACTATGATGCGCAAAAGTAAGCCTAACAATAAGGGATTAAAAGCAAACCAGGTGTTACAAGACGATATGATAAGCAATAGCATCAAAAAAGATGACGCATTCAACGTTTTCAGTGGTGTTAGAAGCTCGCCTACGTATTGGAAAACCGAGAAATGTAACGTAATGGCCATGATTCGTCAGTTAGGCATTCCGACACTCTTTGTAACTCTTTCAGCTGCTGAAACAAAATGGTTTGAATTAATTGTTATTCTAAAGAAGCTTGTAGACAAAGACGAAATTACTGAGGAAGAAGCTGCTAATTTGTCAAGCGATGATATAGCAAGGTTAATTCAGGCTGATGCTCCGACTTGTGCTAGATATTTTGATAGACGTTTTCGACATTTGAAATCCACATGGAAGCCACCGTATGGCCCTTTCGGAGAGCATACCATTAAGGATTACTATTACAGAGTAGAATTCCAACATCGTGGAAGTCCACATGTACATATGCTTGTATGGTTATCCGATGCCCCTGTTTTCGATGGATCAAATGAGGAAATAGTTCAGCCTTTTATCGACAAAATGATAGTATGTCAGTTGAATCCTGATGCAGAACTATATCCAGGGTTATCCGAATTAGTAGTCTCTCGTCAAACACATAATCACACCTTGACGTGTTTCAAAAGATCATTGAAACGAAACGGAAAAAAAATTTGTAGATTCAATATCCCTTTCTTTCCCATGAAAAAAACAACGATTCTTTCAAAATTACCTGAGTTGAATGAGAACGCGACAGATTCTGAGAAGGATAGACGAGAAGAGATTCTTGCTATAGCAAAAAACATTAAGGCATATCTTGCTGATAATTCCGACGTTTTGAAAAGCATAAGAAATCCCTTGTCGTTCGATGATTTTCTGTTGTTGTTTGATATCAATTATTCTGAATATATTATGGCAGTTAGATCAACCCTTATTTGCAGCAAAGTATTTTTGAAGCGAGACGTAAATGAGCTATTTATCAACAATTATAACCCGCTTATTCTCAGTATGCATAAAGCAAACATGGATATTCAATACATCCTAGACCCATATGCCTGTTGTATGTACATTGTTAATTATATCAACAAATCAAACAAAGAAATGACAAAGGTGTTGGAAAACGTACTATCAGAAAGCGTAAACAAGCCAGGTCCTTTAAGAGGTGTATTGAGGTCTTTAACTTCAAAGTATTATAACCTTTGTGAAGTATCTTCTCAAGAAGCGGCGTACAATTTATTGCAGCTTCGAATGAGTGAGACTAGTCGTGCAACTGTATTTATACCAACTGGTAAAGAAGAGAATCGGTGCCGTATGTTAAAGTCTAAAGCAGATCTTGAAAAGTTGAATCCAAACTCAGAGGACATATATTTGGCTGGATTGCTTGAACATTATCAAAACAGACCTGACGATCTTTCAGAATGTAATTTGGCTCAATTTGCCGCTTATTATGCGTATTCCAAGAAAAAACCTAAATCTAAAAAGAAAGCCA